AGTTGTTGTTTTTTCCCTCTATGTTAAATAGGCTTTTGGATTATTAAAAGTAATGGCAAAATATGTATTTCAAGTCACTTTCTTTTCCAACAAATTATTACTTATATGTGGAAATAAAGATAAACGCGAAAAAGAACAAACATCATTTACAAAATTATAATTATAATGATAAGCTAATTCTACCAACAAAATGAAGGCTTAAATACAAATAATTCGTTATTGCTAAACTATAATTATATTAATTTTAAGTTAATGCAAGTAATAGAACTAAGACTTAAACACAAATTTAACAATAATGGATTATTTGTGTTTAAGTCTTAATTTTGTAACTAGCATTAGCTTAATATTATAATTATAATATTTGCAAATAGTATTTGTTATTTTTCGTATTTCTTCTAATTCACACATATAAATAATAATTTGTTGGAGAAAGAAAATAACTTGAAATATCTATTTGCCTTTATTTTTAACAATCTAAAAACATATTTAACATATAGGAAAAAATCGTCACTTGTAAAATAACTAAGGAGACAAATATAGATACATGAATAATTCAGAAAAAAAAATCGCTGTAAATATATAATTTAGGAGGAAAATGTGTCATTTTTCTTTATTTAATTTTATTAACAAAACCATTTGAAGAAAGTGATACTAAATTTTTGTTAAGAAAATTATAATTTTATTTGAGGATGTACATTAGATAAACATGTCTCTTATGTAATAATCATTAACTACACTGAAGGTATACATTAGATAAACATCGCACAAAAAAGATCCTATAAAATAAAATTTCAACTAAAAAGATATTAATAAGAATCAGATAATCAACTTTTATATGTAAAAATTATGTTTCATACACTGGACTTTTTTTTTTTTTTTAAATGTTACTGACTCTATTACAATATAGTATTTGTTTATATACTTTTCAACTTACTGAAACATAAAAAACTTACAATCTTCTAAATAGAAGTCCAACACTTCACGTGGGTTTGAATTCTTAATACTTTTGCAGTCTTCTCACAATAATTGTGGATTCTCTTCATCGTATAATTGAAGCCAACTGCAAAAAACGCCCTCAACTTTAGGGCGTTGACTATTGGGATCACTCCATGTGGAATATTTCGCAGAAAATGTTTTTGGAGATTTGTAAAGCCCACATGACGTGACATGTAGTGTTTTAATTAAGTTAATGAATTTTTAATTAATATTTATATATTATCATTACGCATGACGTGATAGGTTGTGTTTTAATTATATAATTAATTTATGACTTAAGAATTTTACTATGGAGATTTTTAAATTCTACTTTATCAATTATATTTTTTAATGTGGTAAATATAAAAATGTCGTTTTTGTGAATTCATGAAAATTGTCTATATCTCATATTTGTGAGGAGTAAAAGTTAAAAGTAGATTTTGAAAGTACAAATAGTATTTTTCTTAATTTATTTGTAAGTGGAAGTTATTTTGTCAGGTGAAATTTGTTTTGACAAAAATATGTATAATATTGTTCTCTTTCGTAATAATTATTATAATCGAATTCAACTTCTAATCAAGAAACCACGTCGATTTGTTGAGGTTATTCAACCGTTGATTTGGTGGGTTTTTTTTTTTTTTTTTTTTTTTTTTTTTTAAATAAAAAATAAAAAATAAAAAATAAAAAAAAATTGAGGCATGCATTTAATATTGCTTCCATTCTGCCTTTTTCCTACCAAATAGGCAAATAACTGTCATGACAGCTGAACTGATTTGATGTTATACGGGGATCACAATAACCAGTTAAAAAAAGTTTTTTTTTTTATGCCCACACCGACTTACTTTGCTAGTTCAATAGGTAATATTTGAGAGAAGATACTAATGTTTGAATCTCAACAACGACAGTGTGAGCATTATGTTCCAAGTAGTCAGATCATTTAATCTGTTGAGCTATTGAGTCACTATGATTTAAATCTTTTCAGATGCTCTTATGGTCAGATTTTGGAAACCTTTTGAGAGAAAATTTGTTATGGTGCATGTATTTATGATAGCTGACATCAGTAATACGTTATGTGAATCTAATGATGTCTCAGTATATATATGATTCAATTCTTAGCCAGATAGGTTATCTTATAGGAAGAGATAAAAGGCATACAGAATCCCAAAATTTTTTTGTTATGGATTGGATAAGCCACTTACAAGTGTAAACTTCACACCTCGACGTGCATACTTATTTACTTTGCCACGTTAAAATTAAAGATCATAACACAACAACTTTAAATATTCACTACTCAGAATTGCAAAATCAAACCAAAAAGTTTTTATATACAGTATATTGTAAGAATCTCTCTGGAAGGATGCTTAGGTGAATTGTGCAGTGGATGGCTAAAGAAAACGTAAAGCGAGACAGTATATATAACAACGTAACAATCACATATATAATTGGATGATGTTGTAGTGTTACTACTGTGAATTCTCTGTCTCTCATTCCCCCCCCCCCCCTTTTTTCATGGTTAAATAAAGTTTAAGTGACTGAGGACCTATATATCTAGTAAGTAGAGTAGAGTTCAGGTGCGGTGGTTTTCCCGTGCGATCAGTGCGGTCGCACCAGTAGTTATACAAATATGCACCAACAATGTTAGAAAATGCATCACCAAAAATGCACCATTAGATATGAATAAAAGCACTACACAGTGTCCGAAAATGCACAATTAGGGAATCGGGAGTTATGCACTTATGTTGTATTTTTTTTGGCGTGTTGTGCGTTATTTGGTGTATTTGTGCATTTCATTGTTGTGCATTTTCTAACATTGTTGGTGCATATTTGCATAACTATGGGTACAGAAGCACTGACTGCACCGGAAGGCACAGCCGCATTTCAACTTATATATATATATATATATATATATATATATATATATATATTGATATGCTATGGAATTGAAGGAGGTAGGCAAAACGTTGTAGATTCAAACCTACCCTTAACAAAATGATGTAACTAGACCATACACTACTTGCATATCAAGGACGAGCATGAAAGGTTAGGCAATTGAAGGTGTAATTAATAAAGAATGAATAATGGTCCTGAAAAGCAATTAAGTATTAAACCACGCACGTTAGAGGTATGAAGCATATCATCATGTCCAAATATAGTTGCGGCTTGGGGTTGAAGATTTGTTGGGCACTGCACGCATGTGCAAGTGTGAGGGAGGCGGGCCGGGGAAAAGTCCCACCACTTGCTGTACGGGCCGGGGGTATTATTATTAATTATTCGCCCCGCGGGCCTCCATCGTTTTGGCCTTATCTTCCCACTATAGACATGCATGCATAATTGCAACTTGCAGACCGACCGCCCTAATCATGGCTTTCTGGACTCACTCAGATTCCTATGTTGCATCTATCATGTTTTAATTTAATTTGCATCCCATCCTTTGTGAAAATCGAATCTTAATTGAGGAATTGGCGTCTGCTTTTCGGTACATGCACTATTTTTAGCAAAGAGATAAGCATTGTGTTATATGCCGTGGATGTTCCAATCATACGTTGTTTGGTATTGTTAACCTCTGAAAATTACAGACCAATTCAAGTGACCAACATGCCAACATGCTCCTGGTATAACCTGGTTGTGATAAAATAGGGACGTTTGATCCCACCCAGCCCCGCCACTATTATATAACGTCACCGGTTACATTCTTACTAACACATTTTTAATCTGTCCGATATATAAGATCTGATCTTACATCTCCTATATGGTTTGCGAGCTATTAGAATAGTTTATTGGATCTTTTTGAATTGGTTTGTCCTGTAAGATCTTCCTAATGCCCGTTTATATCTCTATGTGGTTTGTGAGCTATTACATACACATAAACTATTAATTGTAGGTATAAAATATGTTAACTGCAGACGTATCTACAGTTAATATATTATGTACATGTCGTTAATAGTTTATGTGTTTGTAGTTACTATTTTATATGTCTGTAGTTAACATGTTATCTTTCTTCAATTTATTTACATGGACATAAATTGTTAATTGCAGGTATAGAATATGTTAACGGTAAGCACATATAATCTTAATGTTATTTTGGACTAGTGTCCACAATGTAAGGTAGATCCTAGTCCATGGTATAATTTGATAGTTGAAACTTATTTTGTATTTTTTATAAAATAAAGGGAGTACAAAAAAAAAAGAACTTAAAAAAAAAAAAATAGAATCCTGCTTTTTAAATCCTAGCAAAAAAAAGAGCCCAAGAATTGGCATTTGGGCTCATGAATATTGGTGGACTTAGCAAAAAAAAAAGGGCCTAAATTGATTGGATTAGGCCGAATTATGATCTCAAGTAAGGGTGAACATTTTAGTTTGATTCAGTTTATTAATGTAAACGGCAATTTATATCCTACACCATGGCGCGCGTTGCACTATGCGCCCAGATGCAAAACGACGTCGTTTTAATTTATTTTTTTAAAAAAAAAATTTCCCGTCCCAGTGAATAGCAGTAGTTTTTTCTTTAAAAAAAAAAATCGCTGTTCAAGAATGTACATAATGTTATACTAGAATACACATAATTGTATACATGAATGTACATAATTATATAACAAAATATACATACTCTTTTTAAAAGATAATACATATAATCTAACATAATACATAATAAACATAAAACTTTTAACATAATACACATCAACTATTAACATAATACATACAAATTTTCTGATTCGGATGTACATAATTGTATAAAAAGAATGTACATAATTGTATAAAAAATGTACATAACTGTATGAACCAATACACATAACTGTATGAACAAATACACATAACCGTGTGAACAAATACACATAATCCCAGCAACTTCCTACCGCCTCCCAAAACGACGTCGTTTTGGGAGACGCGCGGCGCACAGTGCTATGAGCGCCGTGGTGTAGGGTATAACGATTGAATGTAAACCGAATGGTTATACGCTACGGCGGCTACGCAAACCGAACTCTGTTTTTTTACTGAAAACTGTTCTGTTTATAATAATAATAATAATGAGCTAAATCCCTAATTTCCCTAAGATCCTAAATCCCAATTTTCCATATTCTTCAGTTCTTCTCTGCGAAACTCTACGTCTACGGAGTGCGACTGTGCGAGTGAGAGTGAGTCAGTGAGCCGTTGGACGCCGGACGAGGTGAAGAGATTGGACGCTGTCGGACGCCGGACGAGGTGACCCTTCCTTCTTTACTCTTTACTCCTTACCAATGGCATTTGATTTATGTGATTCTTTTCTTTCCATAAAGATGGCTTGTACTCTTGTAGAATTCACATAATGTTTTTTTGCTTGTAGAATTCAAAACAGATGGATGATTCTTCATCTTGTTGTCTTGAAATATGTATTGTTGACTTCTTGTTTATATTTTGAAATTTAAACTGTTAGTAAAATAATTAATTAATTATGTGTGCTAGGAAACAAGGAAATGTTTGGCTTCTCAAACCGAACCGAATTAAATCTTAGCTAAAATTGAAAATTTTCAAGCCGAAACTGTAGCAAACTACAATGCTAATCTGATTGATTTCATTTTCAACCAAAAAAAAAAAAAAAAAACCGAAATGCCTACCCCTATCTCTGGGTCTCGTGACACAATGCTATGGACTCAATTCTACAAGCATAGATTTGCTAATTAGGTTTGTATAGAGCATTTTCAAGAAGGTCTGCAAGCGTGCCAGGAAGGTTCACTTGATCCATTTTGCCGAAAATTATTTCAGTGCAGCTTGTAATTTCTCTCTAACTCTTCTCTCTTTAGCTATACATAAATTCAACTTGTGATTTGTGGTTTTGTATAAAGTGTGTGTATGAATTATCAGAGTATTGTGTGTATGAGATTAGAGGTGGGGCCTCAAACATCTGGCCATTTTGATTATCTTCTGACGAGGACACAAGAGAGAATTGAAATTGTGATTGCATTCAGCTTTAAGTTGAACGAGTGAAAGCTCAAAGAGATTTAAGGACAACTTTTAGTTTAAATCTAAGTTGTAGTTGTAATTGTATAATAGAGTTGGTACTACAATTAATATTATGAAATATGAAATGGTTATCTCCATTTTTAGGAGAACATATTGCGCTGATAGAAGTATATGGATAAACACGGAGTAAGTCTTGACTGCATTTACTTGGAGTATTTAAATTGTAGAAGTGTGATAGCAATTTGTTTTCTTCAACTCAGCCATTTTGCAATCAGAGGACTTTGGCTCTGTAATAATGTTATCCATCTGCTTTATTGATGCCACAGTTCTCACATGCTAATCAATTTCAAGTTTTAGCTTTGTCATTTGTTCCATCATTAAAAGTGCAAAGGAGTATTCTGTACTATTTAGCTACGGGTTGTGAAGAACAAGAAATTGTAGATGCAATTTACACGACAAACAAATCTGAATTCATGTTGCGTTTTTGAGTTTTTGAACATGGAGTTATATTTTCAAGATAGCCAGTTTATTATTAATCAATATATGAGGGAATCTCTAGTTTTATATCAAGTTTGTTGAATGATGATGGCCTTTTTCCTTTACTAAAATTCTACTTATTTGATATTGCGTGATTTGTAATAGTTGTATATAATTGAACATTTAATTGTGCTTGCTGTACTTCATTAGGATATTATTACAATTTTTTTGTGTAAAAAATTGAAAATGAAGTAGCGTTTCAAGCTTTGACTATTCAGCCTCGGTTATACCCCTAGTTACATGATTATCTCTTTCATTACATTGTTTCCCTTTACCTAGGTGGCTTGGTATTCTTTTGTTCAGTTCATTTAGAGCATTGGTTGAACCTTATCTTTTAACAAGCATAAAAATCTTGAGGAAATGATGTTTTCATCAGACAAATTGTGTTTTTGTTTGTTAGGGTAAAAATGAAGAAGGGAGTTCATCCTCAAATGCAGTGGATATCGTATGTGACCCAGAGTGGCAGATTGATGCCAGTTATGATGACTAAGATACACCAGGTTGGCAAGGTTTATCACTTCAGAGCAAGGCGTCAGATGGCTGAGAGCATTGGTCAAATTGCCAAGTTCAAACGTCGATATGAGAAGAAGGAAGAGGAGACCGAGCAGGAGAAATGAATGGTTTTGCTATTGTGAAAATTAGATAATAACAATACACTACATTGCTCTATTTCCATGATTTGAACATTGATTGTTTAAGACTAGCAGTTTGCCCGTCAGATATTCTGATATCTTGGAAGGATTTAGGCAATTTTGTTTGATGACCTGATGCATTGCTGTGTTTGAGCTTGTCTTCTGTTATTGTCTTATTGATTCCTCATTGGTATCAGGTTGTATTAGGGTGGTTTTGAGGTTTTTAGCACCATCCTCAAAATTTTTGAAGAAAAAAAAATGGAGATACGAGTATTACTTGTGAAATTGAGAAAAGAATCCTAGATTGAGAGAAGATTATCAATACTTGCCACATCATAGAGTAAATTTGAGAAAGTAAGATTTGGAAGTATATGTAGTAGAACTCAATTTATCCCTACAAGTTGTCTTGTGTTGCAAGTTTAGGTGGTATTTTTATTTTTATTTAAATTTTTGTTTTTAATCCTACATGGAATGAAAGTTTTGACAATTTGAAACCTTTTAAATAGTACACGGCGCCAAGCACCTTGTGCTCAGATGACAGCACATGGTATGTATTGACCTCTTCCATGTGGGAGGTCATGAGATTGAGCCTCAGTGGAAGTGTTATTGACTCTGTGTGCACCTATAAATATAGTGAAATGGGAGAGTACATGTAGTATTTTTCGTTTTGTTTTTATTTGTTTAATATTATATTATTATTTGGTTATATTATAATAATAATAATAATAATAATAATAATAATGGATTATAATTTGAAAGTTGGGTAACTTTTAAAAATAGTGAAGAAATTGTAAATTAGGTAAAAGTAAATTTTTTTTAAGGTTAGAGAATATTACATGATAAATTTAGCTAAAGTCAAATATGGTATTGTTTTTCTTCATCCTCCGTAAACTTCGCGTATTATCCTCTTCATCGCCATGCAAATAAGATCTAGCTGGCAACATATTATAATTTTCTTTCTCCATCCTCCCTGCAAATCAAATCCTTCTTTTATTTCCATTCTTCGTTCTTCTTGCAAATCAGAAGCTCTTCGATGCTTCGTGTTTTTCCGTCTCAGCCTTCTTCTTCGTTTCAGATATAGACGGTCTCTTCATCTCACATCTGTAAAGATCGAAGCCGTCCCAGATCGAGACGGTTGCTTCGTCTCAGATTGAGACGGTATCTTCTTCTTAGATCGAAGCATTCTCGAACCTCAGAAGATGAATTCGGAGGTGACTTTTAATATATTTCCATTCTAGAAATCTCTAATGCACATATTTTTGTCCCGGAATTTCGATTTTATTGCTAATATAGTTTTTTGGTTTACATTTTTTTTTTTTTTTTTTTTTTTTTTAATTGGGATGAGATTTTACTGATTTTTTATTTATGGAGATTTTCTAAATTTATAGTTTGCTTTGGGGTTTAGGATTTTATTGTTGAATTTTGTTTTGAAATTGTTGTTTCAATGATATTGGATGATGAATGCAACCTTACATATTCCATTTGCTGTTAACTTTCTGAACTTGAAAATTTTGGTTTTAAGTGGATTTTGAAGAATTTTTTGTTTCTTGAGGTGTGACTAGGGATGAAAATATGTCACTCCCTTCATAGCGCTTATGGTCTGTCCTAGCCTATTTAGTAAAAGGGGTCAGACTTAAGCCTATTTTATTTTAAAGCATGATTACCAAAGCTTTCAGGCTTGGCTTTTATATATATATATATATATATATATATATATATATATATAATATTACATTTATTCCTAATATATTTTTATATTTTCAATATAACCTCAAGTATATATATCAATTACTAATATATTTTTATATTTATGAGGATTAGTAGTAGGGTGGTTTTTGTGATTCAAATGTTATTGGTGCTATTGCAAGAAATGAGATTCTTGTAGTTGCTTAAACACAATTTCTTTATGCCTAAATTCTTAGTTTTAGTAATGTGAATCCAACTCATTCAGGTTGGGTTGCGGTTACTTCTTTGCCCACTTGGTTCTAACATTGTTGTCCGAACAGCAAGGTGAGCTTTTATATTTCTTATTTATTTATTATCTCGACTACTTTATATTTATTTTACAATTACTTATCAGTACAAGGGATGATTTTCTTTAGGGTGATCCATTTCTATATGCTTAACCATATATATTAGTCAAGTGATCAATGTTGCTTGCTGCAATGATCAATAAAACTCCTGATAAAAAATAGTAGAGCAATGAAATTATTTACTCCTTTATAATACTAATTGCTAGAATTAGAATATTCCTGTTATGCATTTGAAGATTAGACAACTCGATCTTATTAATGAGGCTTCACTATGGTATGGCTTCTGCAGCTGTTCTGTTGGTGTTGTTTTACCTGTTTATTCTACATTTAAGGCAATTGAACGAAGGGATCACGATGAGCAAAAAAAATGGCTTATGTACTGGGCAGGTTGGTGGTGTTGTTGAATATTCTTGATGAATGTTGGCAGTTTGTAGTGTGTATCCTTAGAACTAATGAATTCCTATTGGTTGCAGCTTATGGATCTTTTAGCATGGTAGAATTGTTCACGGATAAGCTTCTTAACTGGTACATATTATTCCTGCTTTCCTGTCTCTTAAGCCATTATTGTATTTACTTTTTCAGTTTTCTGACCTTAATCTGTTGCCATCTCTTTTCAATATAATAATAAGGTTTCCACTATACTATCATACGAAGTTAGCATTTCTTGTTTGGCTTCAACTTCCATCTATTGATGTAAGTCCGGCCAGGTCGATTCTCTCTTGTTTTTTGTGTTACTATATGAAACCACTTGAGATTTGTAGAAGTTGGTGAGGAAATTTATGCATGGCAGGGTGCGAAGCAAGTGTATATGAATCATCTTCGGCCTTTCCTCTTGGACCATCAGGCTAAGCTTGACCGAATGGTTGGATTTGTATATGGTGAAATGGTAAATAGTTTACACATTTTGATCCTTTTATGAACAAATTAAAGCAGTGGGTGAGTTGCAACCTTGGATGTTTTTGGGGTTTCAGTCTAGGTTTGTGAGTCAGCATGAGGAGGAAGTGATGTTTGTGAAGACAATTCTAATGAAGATTTTAGCGGCGTCTAAGGAAGGTGAGGAAACCTTGGAGTGTATTTCATTACTCTGTAGTGTAGTTGTTTCAGGAAACCTTATGCCCAGTTTAATTTTTTTCAGTTAACACTCGCCCAGAACAAAGGCAATCTAGTGCTGCAATTGAAGGACCAAATGTGGAGGATGAATCAGATTCTGAGGATGATGAATTGATGATTGAGTAAAGAGTTCTCAATCAAACTAGTTCCTGTTTTTGTTTTTGTTCTGTTTTTTTGAAAAAATTGTATAGCAAACTGAATGGATAGGTGCAGCTAGGACTTTCTGAGCTGAGGTGAATAATGATTCACTTCAAAGTGCAGGGATAGATCCTTTGAATGTGAGGATCTGTGCTTCTATGTTCTACACTTGTACCCAACCGTATGTGTTTGTACTAGTTTATTTTGCCATGCAAAATTAGGTACAGTTTCCTTGTAAATTTCCCCCTACTTTACTACGATAAAGATATCAATATAAATATTTAATTTTGGATTGTATTATTAGGAGTGCTAATGCTTTTGCAAACTGGATACTCCGCCATTGGCGGCGAACTGGGTCTGTGTTGCTGTGTACTTCTTCATAACCACTGTAAAACAATTCTCTTTTATTGCATAAGATATGGTAATAATGCAATAAGGCTATCCTTATCCTTGCGATGGTCTGTCACCTTTAAAAATATTCACTTTTAAAAGTGGTTTCACTTACATTTTATATTATAAATGTAATAATAAAGTAATAATAAAATAGCAAATAAAAAATAATAAAAAGAAATGAAAGTCAATTGCAAATTTGCTATTATAGCAAGCTTGCAAGCCATATAAGCTAACAAAATAAAATAAGAAAGAAAACACATTACCTTTTACATCATCTTAAAAGGGTTCACTTGCTGGGATGATGATAGCCTAATATCGTTAGTGTTTTGTTTTTTTTTTTTTTAATTTTGTTGGTAATATGGAGAAAACTGATTGATTAATGTTATAGACTTGGGACAATATAATATTTTATTTAAGAGAATTAGTTTGGCCCTTGAAAATTTTGCCTACCACATCTCATTTCATTAAAAAAAAAAAGGAAATTAAATAACCTTCTTAAGTGGCTCAATCAAGTTTTTTTTTTTTTTAAAAAATGGGAGGTTTAATTGCACTATATATATGAAATATGAAATAATAATAATAATAATAATAATAATAATAATAATAATAATAATAATAATAATAATAATAAAATTTACCTCTAGTTGTCCACATAAGAAGTCCACATTCTAGCTAAATCAGCAATAACTTGTTGAACATGTTATATAAAAACTTAAATACATTTCTTTAGACAATTTAAGAGATTTACATATAATTTTTTTTAGTAAAGAATTCAATTACACTAATAGAGACTTGTTTCACTCGAAAAGAATGAAAGTAAATCTAAATTTGGGTGGTAATGGTGGACATATTAATGAAGGGTAATTATTGTGTTTGATGAATGGGACCAATTCAAGTAGCCATGAGTGGAAGTTGACGCTTTAGAAGTCCAGTGTTGAAGAGTGAGGAGCCTCTTTGACGCATTTCTTTTAAAAACTTTTTCCGCATTACGAGAATTGAAGCTGATGCTTGTTTTGTTTTGTTAACTTGCAGGCGAATGGCGATTGCAAATATGTCCACAAAAAAGCCTTCAATTCTTTTAACTTATCGTTTACACCAATACCAATGGACTATTCTCCACTATGTTATTTTATTATTACATCTAACTTAATTGGTACAGAAAATGAGATTGTAATTTTTTTTTATTTAATTTTATATGACGGGAATAATATTAGCAAACACTCCTTCAAATATTTTTCTTTTCTATATTCTTTCTATGCTCCAAAACTTTCATTTTCATATTAAAATAATAATAAAAAAGTCGTTGTTTTGTGACGATGATCCTCTTCTAGCAAAAGCACATACGTATAGGATAGCTCTCAATTGGATCACTGAAAAGGACCTCCGAGATATTCGTATTGATATGGATTGTCAAGTTCTAATACAAGTTTTAGCTAAATTTTTTTTTATACATTTCTCATATTTCGGCTTTGTTTTGAGTGATTGTCTAAAACTCTTCGGTTTCACTGAGTCTTGCTTTATCCATTTTATAAATAGGTTAGCTAACTGTTTGGCTCATACTCGTGGTTCTGATGGCGGCATTTCAGTTTGGGATTCCGATTTCCCTTCGTGTATTCATCACTTTTGTGTGTTTGTTTATGATATACAAGAAAATTATATACTAACTTTTTTTTTTTTTGGTGATAGAGAAATTTGCAATCATTATTTAAGATTGTGCATTGTGTAAATCCGACTTTGTGACTTAGCCGACTGAAAATGATATAATTTTTAAGTAATATAAAAAGGAAAAACATTTTAAAAATTTCAAATAAAATGTCACTTTCCGTAATAATATAAAAATTTTCTTTATGTAAACTTGAATTCTTCCATGTTTTCATCTCCTTTTGTAGCAAAAAGAAAAGAAACTAACTTTGTCTGTTGCGCTATTAGATTCTTTCGATTTCAATTCTCTGTAAAAGACGATATGGAAGATCTATCACAAAAAACTTCCCTTTCACTAATGTTATCATTATCACGCAAAAGGGAAATCTCATGTTGGACCCTTGAATCATCAGATCCTCTTCTTATAAACAATTTTTTTTAAAGCAATAAAAAAAATGATAAAATGTCGCATCAGTTTTACCCTTTTCCTATTCTTTCTTCACTGTCAGCCTGGCAGAGCTTTGATAACATTTGTCATCATCAGACTAAAAGAATCAAGAATGTTGCTGTTTGGCTGAGGCACACTCTCTTCACTCAAAATGGTGTCCCTTTCGGGCTTCTCCTTCCTGCTCCATTGACTACCTCTCAAGTCTCAATATAATAAGGTAAATCCATAAATGGGTTGATCTCAGATTTCTGTATATGGGTTTGCTTGAAAGCTCCAATCTTTATGTTCAGTGAATGAATCAGTGGCCTGTAGTGACCTGCATTGTTTGATTGGTTTGCTGGGTATTTCTCTTTTAAGGTTTCTTGTAACTCTGATCTACTTTCTAAAAGATTTCAGGAATATAAAGTTATAAACTATAGATTTTTGGTTGCTTCTTTGGAAAATGAGGAGGCCACATGGTCCTCATGGATACCCATATGGCATGTCCCCAAGCCATTTTGTTCTTCAGATCTAATTTTGTTTCTTTGCCTCAATATTATGTCATCAAACATCAACCCAGCCTTTCATTGCTAATACCTGAAGCTTCTTGTTTTTATTTCCCTCTTTTCTGAGAACTTTCAACCACAATTTTTAGTTCACTGAGGTAAACATTGACTCTTCAGATTGGGTCTTGAGTTCCCTGATGTATTATTGTATATAATTATCAAGTTTATGCTGTATATTTGTGAAGTCAGTTCTTATCAGCACAATAGGGGTCAGAACACTTGAGAAATCAAGATTCAGAACAGAAGTTTTTCTTGGAGAGTTTTGCAAATGAGTCAAGCATTTACATTCTGCATAATATTTTCAGATGTAATCAAGGGAGGCTCTTTTGACCTCCTTTCTATGATGTAGTGTGAGTGCCAAGTCTTTGAACACAAAAGGTTTAACCAAGTCTTTTGGTCTTGGGTATGGAGCTGTCTTAAATCTCCAGGCCAGATGTCTCACCCTTAGAGGTGCCTACAACTCCGCGAGGGGATTAATCACTGTGTCTGACAATGGATACCTGGGTAACACCCAAAAAAAGTTACATTGATACATTACATATGTATACTAATATTGATGATGCTGTTGATATAGCCAAGAGACGGGAGTAGAACGTGATAGATGTTGCATTACTTTTGATTGAATTTGTATTTGCCTCAAGTGTGTGGATAACTGGATATCATTCATGTTGATTTCTAACTTGCTGTAATTTCTTTATGTTGAGGATTTGACCATTTGACACCATACTCTCTGCATTGCAGCAGGTTGGGACCAGCCAGGTATTGAGTTACGCCTAGTTTCACCTTTAACATGAAGTTGAAACTAAAGAATGGATTGCGTTCTATAGTACCTATCCCCCATTTGCAAGATGAATCAGCCACTCGCTTTTGCATGTTTTCAAATGTGAAGCCAGCAAGATACAGTCCAGGAAGTGCACCCGTCTATCTTAACGTATATGATTTGACATCCATGAATGGCTATTTGTACTGGGCAGGAGTTGGTGTCTTCCATACTGGAGTAGAAGGTCAGTGTACACTCTTATGTGTGATTTTAACAATTAGTTTGAATATCGTTCTGAAACATGAACCGAACCAACTTCTAAATGCCAGTTTCTTAAAAAAATTTGGGCGAGAAAGAGGAAAATGCATTTGACAAATTTCAAATTTTTGGCTTCTGATACCATGTTGAGAAAGATGTAGAAGATTTGTTATATTACTTCCATGTCTCAATGGAGAGACAACAAACAAATATATACAGATTTAAAGGACACAATCCTACAAACACAACTCTACACAATTAACAGACATATTCCTACAGACACAACTTTTGTGTTTCAACAGACATATATTGATTTGGAACCATGTAAAACTAGAGAGGGAGTAGCAGAAGTAATGGCTATAGGATTGGATCAGAGCACAATGTTTGTCTAAGTAGCAAGTGTGGATACTTCTTTGTTGCTACTTTGAGTTAGTAATGGTGAAAAGTGTGTAAATGATTCTTTGATTGTCGAAACGAATGATTCCAAACTCCACACTCAATGGTGTTCTGAAGATTCTGTTGTGCTTTTACAGTGTATGGTGTTGAATATGCGTTTGGAGCGCATGAATATCCAACGAGTGGCGTATTTGAAATTGAACCTCGGCAGTGCCCTGGATTTAAGTTCAGAAAGTCAGTTTTCATCGGGACAACGTATTTGGATCCCATCCAGGTTAGGGAATTCGTGGAGCTACAATCTTCAAACTACAGCGGGGATTCGTATCACCTGATTATGAAGAACTGTAACCACTTCTGTGAGGATATATGTTACAAGATGACTGGAAACCGCATTCCAAAATGGGTGAACCGGCTAGCAAAAATAGGTGGTGCTTCATTCATATTCTTTTCTATCGACTTACATAATATCACATAATGGGAATTCATTTTTTTTTTTCCTCTCTTTATGTGTAGGATCACTGTGCAACTGCATTCTCCCAGAAGCCATCAAAGCATCATCTGGTGTGGAGAAAGGTCCAGATTTCCCGGGATTTGACAGCGAGAAGAGAAGGCTTAGAAGCTCTTTCAGGTGCTTGTCCTCGATTTCAATGCGCCACAGCCGCAGGGACAAAGAAGTATCCATATCGTCGCTGTTCTTGCACTCCCACTACAGAGACTGTTTACTGCCCCGAAAATTCAGAACATCTAGAAATGGATCTTTCAGAGAAGGGTGATTGAGTGTTTAGTTTCCAGTTTCTATCTAGATATCCTGGGTTAGAATGCATGAAACTTTGCCACTAGCTAGCTCTCTCTTTAGCCAGGGCAAAAGTATAAGCTATTCTGGTTTTTGGCTTACTTGTTTTCCTGCTCATCATTTTACCAGTTCAAGGATTGGATTGGATTGTATCCTACAGCCTCAGATGCAAAAACTTTTAGTTTTGGTAGTAAAACTCTTGTTTGTCTACTAACAATTTATCAACAAGTTATTTACATTAATTTCAGCTACTGTCTCACCTGATGCTCGATCGACAATGTTTATATTCTGAATAAAGAAATAATAGTACAATATTGAAAGCGGTACCCGCCACTAGCTGCTGTGACCGCGTCAACGGCGGGTGGCATCTCCGCCATGCCCGGGACCCGAGCGCCGCCTTGGACGCGAACGCCCCGCCATGCCGACAGGGCATGTTGGGGCGCACCCAGGGGGCCCGGAGCGCCTCATTCTCCGGAAAAAGTCGTCACGCCACCCGATGCCCCTAGTTGGCGGTCCACGACGGCCGGCCACCGGGGTGGCCGCTCTTCTGGGCCTCCCTCCTCCACAAACCACCCAATAGCAAGTGGGCCAAAGCCCAACCCCAATATCCCCATCAGATATGTTCAATGATAATGAAATTTCAAACAAATTTTAAATCAGTTTATACATGCATCATGCATGCATGAAACACCAAATAACTGCCTAAAGTTGTTTCATAATTTTTTTTCAAACATTTATTTATATATATATAATAATACTATTATTAGGTGAGAACTTCTATGTTGTCCCAATTTTAAAAGTGTTCATAAAATTATGAAATTTTTACATACCTATAGGCTATAGATAGAATCATGTATTATTGATGACTTTAGAGTTTAGAGTACGAAATATTAAAAGGGGACTTGAAAGGAAATACACAAAAGTTCTGTTTTAGGCGAAAAAAAAATTCGAAAAAGGGGAGGGGCTAAAATATACTTTAAAATTTTTGTTTCGGACTATAAACAAAATCAGAAATGACCATACGTAATACGGCAGTAGAACTATAGAGCGTTTCTGCAAGGTGGAGGTGACAGTCTAACGAAGCTGAATCGATATCTGTTAAACCCTAAGATTGATTAATTCGCCTTCAATATGTTCAGGAGATTAACATTTACGTTGATCCTGAGTTCCATTGCGATTCTGTGCAGTGGATTCTCGCCGGAGAGTCCCACCAGTAGGCGAGTTCTGGTTTTGCTCCAGGATTTCGCGATCAAATCGTCTCACTCTCTCTACTTCAAGGCGCTAGAAAATCGAGGATTCAACCTCGAATTCAGACTCGCCGATGATCCAAAGATCGCTCTGCAGAGACACGGCCAGTATTTATATGACGCTCTGATTCTCTTCTCCCCTTCCATTGATCGTAAGTCCGCACACCAATGGTATACATTATATATACATTTAGTGGTTTGAATTCGTATGGACTTAATAATTGTATCATCGTGGATACTGTTGCTTGAAACGGATGGATTTTGTTTTAAGTGAGTGTTGCTCTGTTTTATCAGGTTGTGGTTTAATTTTTATTTTTGGTTAGGATTTGGAGGGTCTGTTGATGCAGCATCAATACTGGATTTTGTTGATTCTGGTCACGATTTGATACTGGCGGCTGATGCTTCTGCCTCTGATCTTATTCGTGAAATCGTTACGGAATGTGGAGTTGATTTTGATGAGGTACTCGCATAGTTGCATACTACACTTGAACACATGTATAGACATTTCTATTTGCTTATTATTATATATGTATAGTTGGCAAGATATACTATTAACAGTGCTATTTGAGGTGTCTGGAGTTTGGAAAAGGGAGAAAAACTCTCAACTTCTGATCGTTGTACATTCCATCTATGATTTAGCTGATGCATATCTATCTGGTTCCCTTCTATCTCAATATTTATTGAATGGATGATAATAGGACCCTGCAGCTTTGGTTTTTGATCACATGAGCTATGCAGTTTCTGATACAGAAGGGGACCATACATTAATTGTGGTAACTGATTTCATTCAATCTGAAGTGATCCTAGGAAGCAAGGCATTTGAGGTAAGAGCTATGTACTATCCATATCTTCCTTTCCTAAATAATGGATGATTATTGTTATTGGGAGTTTTTGCTGAATCTTTGATATTTTTGAATTGCTATGTCTACTGCAGGCACCAATACTTTTTCAGGGGATTGGTCATTCTTTAAATCCTGCAAATAGCTTGGTAAGCTTTTTCCTATTGAGTTCAAGAATGCAAAGCATAAACATATGAACCATGAACGTGTACCTCAAACAACTATTCCTTAGTCTAAAATAGTATCATCAAGTTCATCATATATGCAGGCTTTAAAGGTTCTATCAGCATCACCAGCAGCATATTCAGCCAATCCAAAGTCCAAGTTGTCAAACCCACCTGCACTCACTGGTTCTGCAATCTCTCTTGTTTCAGTTATCCAGGTAGGTAATAGTTTCTTTCTCCATGGCTGTCCCCACAAACCAGAACTCACTAAACATGAAAAGGGTAAACAATTAAAGAAAGGAGTGTAAGGTCATCATAATGTGGGTATTCATAAGTAACAGTGTTTTTGGAGACATGATTTACTTTCTAGTTGTTTGTCAGAAAGAAATTTCATTACAATAAATAATAGGTTATTCTATTTATTGGAGAACTACAGTCATGTGTTCTGGCCCATATATGTGATAATGGACATAACTAGAAAAGTGACTGAGAAATTTCAACTACAGTTGTTTGACCTTGCAGGCTAGGAATAATGCTCGAATTCTAATAGCTGGCTCTTTAAGCATGTTTAGCAACCGGTAATTCGGTAAATGCCTTGTCAAATTGTTTACAGTATCTGTACAGTACCGTGAATTGACTTTTAGAACCTCTTCTCTGTGAACAGATTCTTTAGATCTGGGGTGCAGAAAGCTGGAAGCCCAACTAAGTAAGTATTTGAGTTCAAATGTTTCTCATATTTTGTCAAAAGACTGCAGTTTGTCCAACTCTATGCTATATTCTCTCACTGACAATTCAATGTGAGCATTAAGCTTCTGAATTCTCATTTGCTTTATATCTATTATAGGCATGATAAATCTGGGAATGAACAGTTTCTGACTGAAATTAGCAAATGGGTCTTCCATGAAAGAGGTCATCTCAAGGTTCTGTCTGATGTTTAATTCTAAGTTCCTCATTTACATATTTATAGGGATATTTGCAACGTATCAACCAATCATGTGAATTATACTTTTTTTTAAAAATTTCTAGGCTATGAATGTTACGCATCATAAAGTTGGGGAGGTGGATGAACCTTACATGTACAGGATCACTGATGACCTGGTAAATTCATTATTCATATCTGTGTAAAGATTATGAGCATAGAACGTGTATCAAGCTAATAGGTTAAGGAACACCAACTGATGCTGAATTTTGGTTGGAAGGAATACTCTGTTGAGATTTATGAGTGGTCTGGAACAAGCTGGGTACCATACGTAGCAGATGATGTCCAATTACAGTTTTACATGATGAGTCCCTATGTTTTGAAAACTTTGTCAACTAATCAACAGGTTGTAATATTGCTTCAGAGCTCCATAGTTGGGTATTATGTTGTAACTGATTCATCAGATGGTTTTTAATTTTTTAATTCACTTTGTCCAGGGCGTCTATCATACGTCTTTCAAAGTCCCAGATGTTTATGGAGTATTCCAGTTTAAGGTTGAATATCAAAGATTAGGATACACGAGCTTGAGTCTATCAAAGCAGGTCTGTTCTCCCTCCCTCTCTCTGTATATTGTTCCTTGGCATTAGAAATTCCTGCTTTTTCAGTTCATTGATATCATCTTAAAAAAAATTCTGACTTGCAGATTCCAGTCAGACCCTTCAAACACAACGAGTACGAGCGATTCATAACAGCTGCTTTTCCCTATTATGGAGCATCCTTTTCCATGGTAACCATCTATCTACCTCCTCTACTTGATCAACTTGTTTATTTTCCAAATATGGACAATTTTACTCCCCCGATATCAGTCGCATTCATAGTATCATCACATCCTAACAATTGATTTATGATGATGCCAGATGGTAGGTTTCTTTATATTTTCTCTGGCATTCCTTTATAACAAATAGCCACCAGACCCGCCCGAGGGAATACTCCATTCAGGAATGAAGAGATGATTTTGCTTCCTGCTGAGGTATAATCACCAGGATTTATAACAGAGAGTTAGGGAGAGAAAAATAATTTAGTTTAGTTTGATGTGAAAATGCTAGGAGTGAAGCTTATTTTTCTAGATACTGTGATCTTACAAATTGTGGCGTCTAGACATCTTTGGGCTAATTAATACAATTATCAGTTCGGATCTTTAGTGCACTGGTATTTTTTTTTTTTTTTTAAATAATTAATCTAGTTTGTTGTTTGAAAAATAAAAAATAAAAAATAAAAATGTTGTTTGTTTCTGGAACGTATACCCTTTGAAAACGTTCAGTTATAAAGTTGATTAATAACAAGATTTGGAGAGAATGTATTCCAAACAAGGAAGACTACATGAGTAAATAATTATTAAAAAAAAAAAAAAAAAGATGATGATGATTGATATTGTTATAGATGATGTGTATTGGGAGAGGAAAATGGGTTGGCAGGGCAGGTGATGATGAGTATTGAGTAGAAAGAATGTATAGATTGTTGACGTATCGTGGAATGAATCCTTTGTAGCCTCTGGTATTAAGTCTCAAAGGCAGGTGCGGGAAGGAGGGAGAGAGTGACACGTGTAGGATTATGTGGTATAGCGCGAAAAGCGAGATTGAAAGATTCATCACGCGGAGGTGTATGTTTGTAGGATTAGATTTGCATTTAGCACGCCAGAGGCCAAAGCCTCACCCATTCCTTCTTTTCCGCACTTTTTGCCTCATTCTTCTGCACTTCTCAATTCTCCCCTCCTTTTACCTCATAATTTTATCCTTTTTCTTTATAGCTTCTCTAAATTGTGTTACAAGTAAAACACATCTCACATCCCCACACTATTTATGTTTAACAGAAACTCATACATTTTGAATAAAAATATAAAATTAATAAAATTTCAATTTGTAAATTTTTAAATTATACTTCCTAGAATGTGAATAGTAGAATTGTTTTGGTTATTGTCTTTATCATACATTAATATTCTAAAACTTTTATAATAAGTAATAACTTTTCAAACAACATATAAATGATCTCTTTAAAATTGAGTTCTTTAAGAATAAACTAACATGTGAGAGTGATTGATCTTAACTTTTGTTGATTATCATTGCACATGAGACAACTAAAGAATATTGTCTTCGTAGAAACTTGAACAATAATATAATGTCGAGTCGGATGGAGTCAACAACATTTTAGGATCAACAACTTAAGTCCAACCAAAAAATATTCCACAAATGCTGTAACAACCATTCTAGGATCATTACCTAATAATTTAACCTAATAGTTTATATTTCTTAACAACATAATAGGAGTTTTAACTTTTTTAGAGTTAACCACTGGAATATCTAATCTAATTTAATAATAATAAAAAGGGTGTGCACATTAGCCAACAAATTGGCATTTGTATCTTATATAATTATTGTATTGTTATAATTATTAAAGAGATTGAAGGTGTTAAAGTAAAATAATCATTGAAACTAAAAATAATTTTCAATCAAACTCGTTAATATTGTACATTAACTTCCAATTATAACCAAATACAATTCAAACACGTTATAAAAAAGTGTAATTTCCATTTTATAACATTTCTTAAGGTAAATCACTTCACTCATTTACCATTCCCTAGAATTAAATGATTTACTTGGATACCAAGGCATCACTCACTAGCTAGGAGCCTAGGACCACATATAACTGTTTCACCTTAGCTTTATGACTACAATATATGAAATTTTCATTTAATTTGGACCCCTCTATAATCTCTGGCCACATAACATGCACTATATGTGAATTTTTTGGGATTGTCAGTATAATTATACCACCAATATTCATACATCAATCACTGTTCTACAAAACTATTACCCATATGGCCAAACGTGAATTTGTTTAGATATGCTTTAACTTGCATACACATAAATTCTGTGTGAAGAATTACTTAAGTGTTAAGCTTTATTTTCCTGAATTTCTGTGCACATAATTTATTTGATACAAAATAATGAAATATAAAATAGGGATCGGAATACAAAAAGTCAACAAAATAATTCGTTTAACCGAAAATAGGAGAAATTAAGTATTTTAGTTTTAATATATGTAATGTAGTTGTTTGACTATTTAGGTTGGTGACAGAAATAACAGGAAAAAGTTAATTGCTGTATCATTATATTTTACTATATATTTTAGCTACCGAATTTAATATGCCAAACTCTTTAACTGTAATAGCATTAAATTGGAAAAGTAGAATGCTATTTGTGTCTACAAAAATCACCGTACTCTATTTCTTTTTGTCAATATTTGATGTAGCAATTTTTGATAAATTGATATTTGGAATTTTAAAAAAATGGATAATTAACCACACAAAAAAAATGACAAAAATGGTGTGCTTTCTTTTGTAGTAGGAAGCATTTCCCATTTGCAAATTGCAATCTATCCAATCAACTTTGACCCAATTGTTATAGGGTTGCATGTGATATTTTAGCCATTTTATATAGGTATATATTTTTAGAATAAATTGGTCTACCCTACCATATATATATATAGGTATTTTAATTTGTTCATTTTAATTAGGGGTGTTGTAATTGACTAATTGTTTGCTTAAGTATTGGAAAATATTTTTTTTTTTAAATTCATGTAAAAACAAAAAAAAAATCCCAACGTCGAACAGTGACTAATCCCCTCGCTGAATTGTAGGCATCCTTTTTGAGTGGAACAGCTGGTCTGGAGATTTAAAACTGCTACATTCTCAAAGCCAAAAATCGAACCAAACATATAAAATAAGACAAAATAAGACGAAGGAATTAGATAATTAAAACATATAATGGCACCATTAATTACCCATAAATAATAAGTACCCTAGTGCATTTAGTACTTGTTAGTAGTTGAGTTTTATAAGGGTAGTTTTGTAATTTCAGAAAAGATGGCTGCATTAAACAGCACTCATAATTCGTCACCACTCACCGGCCTGCCGGCGCCTATTTAACCCTGAAAAGCTCATTTCTTCGTACTCAAGTTTCACAGTTTCTTGCTTTCTCCCAGCGCCGCGTTATACATAACTGTAGATTTCTCTCTCTATTTCTCAATGGAGAATATAATATAATATAATATAATATAATAATATCCTTGTAGGCTGTAGCTTGTATGTATGTATGTGTGTGTATGTCTAAGAGAGAGAGAGAGAGAGAGAAAGAGATTGCTTCCCGCGTTTTCCATCTCCAATCTTGAATTAACTTCATGCGTGCAAGCTATTCGTATAAATCTCCAAACCCACATTTTCTTGGCCCTTACAACGTTTTTACTTCTCTCCAAGCTTCAATCTTTTTCCCTCTTCCCTTTATATCTCGTGTCACTTTCCTGATATTTTCCCAGATCTTTCTTCATATCGCTCTCCAATCCTTTCCTTAAAACCATTTACTTGTATATATATGCGTTTCTCAACCTCGAAAGAGACATTCTTTATCTATCTGCTTGCTTGAATTTAGTCTCTGAAGTTTGGATCTCTTCTGTGCTTCTGTTTCATGGTTTTGCCTATTTTACAACCTTAAGTTTATCCAGTTCTAATTTAGGTAAGTATACTTGTCTGTGGAATTTAATTCTGATTATTATAATATATCTAGTGATCGATTTGGCTGTCATCTTTCTGTGATTATTGAAATTAGGGTTGAATTTTCTTCAAAGGGTTATTATATATGATGTTGTGTTGTTTACTTGTTTTAGTTGTGGCTTTCAAGATTCATATATTGAGGTTTATGTGTAAAGCTAAGTTGGATGGTTAAAAGGTGTGGTCTTTGTGTAGAGATTAAAAGAAAAGAAATTGAAATCATGGGAGGGCAGAGTAGCAAGAAGCCTGCTGAAACATCGGCCTCTGGAATTAACAATCTGCAGTACAGAACAGAAATGATAAACTCATATGAAGCTGCTTGCAGGGTTGATGTAGATTTGCATAATTTTGATTCAACTCTCCAAGTAAGAACCAACCATGTCCTCAGTGCCCTTGCTGGAGGTGTTGAGGTGAGGGCGTTATCGTTTGATTCCTTAAAAGAAGTAACAGGATGTCTGCTAGACATGAATCAAGAAGTGGTTAAGGTCATCTTGGAATGCAAGAAGGACATCTGGAAAAACCAAGAACTCTTTGAGTTAGTTGAGGAGTACTTTGAGAACAGCCTGAAGACACTCGACTTCTGTGTCGAATTGGAGAAGTGCTTGAAGCGAGCTCGAGATAGGCAGCTGCTGATCCATGTTGCTCTCCAGGAATTCGAGGCGGAGACTGGGGTTGAAGGGAATAGCTATGCCAGAACCCTGGAGGAGCTGAAGAACTTCAGAGAAGCTGGGGACCCTTTCACTGAAGAGTTCTTCCAGATCTTCCAATCCGTTTATATGCACCAAATGCTAATGCTCGAGAGGCTGCAATCGAGAAAGAACAAACTCGACAAGAAGCTCAAGTACATCCACGCCTGGAGAAAGGTCTCCAGCATCATCTTTGCTGCAGCATTTGCAGCCGTTCTGATCTGTGCAGTGGTGGCTGCTGCCGTGGCTGCCCCACCTGTTGCAGGCGCCCTGGCAGCCGCCTCTTCGGTCCCCATCGGCTCAATGGGTAAGTGGATCGATTCGCTTTTCAAGAACTATGAAATCGCCATCAAAGGGCAGAAGGAAATCATCAACTCCATGCAAGTGGGCAGTTATGTGAGCATCAAAGACTTGGACACCATAAGGGTGCTGATTGATAGGCTGGAAGTAGAGATAAAGTCCCTCCTGGAAAACGCGGATTTCGCCATTAACCACGAAGGGGCAGTGAAGATTGCAATCGAAGAGATCAAGAAGAAGCTGGATGTTTTCATGAAGAATGTTGAGGATTTAGGGGTGCAGGCTGATGTGTGTAGCAGGGATATTCGCAGAGCCAGGACTGTGATTCTGCAAAGGATCATCAGACACCCCAACCATTAAGGATTCATGCTGGAAACCTCAACCTCTCAAGTCTCAAACTAAACTAAACTGTGGTCCTCCTAGGCCCTAGCTAGCTTGTTTCATGAAGAATAATAATAAAAGGATATTGAATTCATTGATTTGTAATCTGTAAAGTAATGTTCATCTTTCCTGAACTAATTTATTAACATGGAATTTGATTTAGATATTTGTTGATCGAGGGCATTATCCACACATTCTTAGCTTGTATTATTTAATACTTCGTTTTAACAACTTGTGTTTAGATGATGTTATGCAAATGCAATATATAGTTGTCCAGAAGCTTGCATCTTCAACCTTATTGGTTGCGTTCATTCAGGCTCGATCTCTAACGTCATTATTAGTGTCAGTTGGTTTAGGTATATATAGGAAAACTAATTATGGATATTCTGTTTTAATGGAGGAATGAAGATAATTCACACTTGGCTTCGATTCAGGAATGGCAATGGGAAAGACTGATTATTCATCAGTCATTGGATTCATTACAATTCGGGTAAAATTTTTAGATATTCACTAATTCTATGCAAAATGAATATTCACCACAGTGCTATCTTAATATTGGTAATATTTTTTTAATAATAAATTAATTATAATTACTTGTTATATGTTAATTTTAATAAAGTTTTTATTTGAATATAATTACAAAATTATTTATAATATTTTAACTTACTCAGCTCATTAATTTTCATAAGCAAGGTCTTAGGTTCGGACTCCATTCAAATCAAAATTGACATAATGGTTAAACATATACTATGAGTGAATTAAAAAATACAATATAAAATTTAACATGAACTTTGGTCAATTAATAAGAAGTTAGAACCACGCATTGTGCATTGATGAAACGGTACACATAATTTATTGTGGCCCTGTTTGGTAAAATGGCTGTTAGCTGATAGCTGTTAGTTGTTAGCTGATTGTGTGAATTAGAGGGTATAAATAGTTGATAACATTAGCTGATTGTAGAAAATTGTTTGGTAAATTAGCTGTTTGCTGATAGCTGTTTGGTATAATTTCTTTTCTCAAAAAGCTAATTGAAAAAGTTGCTTAGAGTAGCTTTTTGAATTTTAGCATTTTGAAATTGCAAAAAGTTAATTAACCAAACATTTATATTGATATTTTAACTAAATTAAACAATTAATAGTAGTCATTTTCAAAAAAAAAAAAAAACAATTAATAGTAGTCAAATAGGCCAAAATTGGCATATAGGCCAATTTTTTACCAAACAGGGCCTGTATATATTCATTACAGATGAGAAACTATGTCTAAAACTGCTATTGCACCAGTTAATTTTATGAAAAATTATGTCAAGTCATAGTTATGCATTATTGAAATATTCAGACAGATATATTCATAATCAGAAAAATAAACAGACATAATCACAAATAAATCCAAAATCATGCACTTAAAAAGTTCATCATGTATCTAGATTTCAGAATTAAGAGCTTCATTTTTTTTTTTTTGAATGCTACTGGTTCTATTACAGCTTCATTTAAGAGTCATTTATCCATAAATTTACACATTCCAAAGAAATCTAGAATTAGACACTTGAAAAGTTCATTATGAATCACGATTTCAAAATTAGGGGTTTAATTTAAGGGTCATATATCCATAAACTTACACATTACAAAGAAACCTAGAATTAGACACTTAAACAACTCATCATGTATCTAGATTTCAAAATTAGGGGCTTCATGCCTTCATTTAAGGGTCATATATCTATAAACTTGCACATAACAAAGAAATCTAGAATCAAGTACTTAAAAAGTTAATCATGTATATGGATTTCATAATTAAGATTTAGGGGCTTCCACCAATATCCATAATCAGGGGTCATTTAATTTAAGGATTATGTTCACACTTATGTGAATTTCATCTTGGGTGACAAAGATGACAATGTAAAAAAGCATCTGCATCTCAGCTCGATGGATATATTGTCAATGAACGACAGATGGAAAACATATACTGGGTGGTGTGCAAGACTTTTCAACCAAAGCTAGTCTTGACTACGTTTGATCAATTCTTCAATGATATTAAAGAATCGTTAAATTCATCTAACCAATTCAGCTTCAAATTTGTGGAATAGTCTGCAATTCAAGTTCTTTGTAGCATTGCTAGGGAAGTTGTTTCTTTGTCTGACTGTAAGGAATGGTATACCGTTTCACCGATCCTATTTGTAATTGCTTCATCTTATGATTAAATGAATGAGTTTCTTTATCTTCAAAAGAATTTAAGGATTATGTCAAACAGAAAATTTCACAGTAAATATAAAAAATCAGAAGTCATTTAAGGGACATATTGATATGGGAATTTCACAATAAACATAACAAAATCAGGAGTTATTTAATGAACATATCAATATAGAAATTATTTTCAAAAAAAAAAAAATATCAATATAGAAATTTCACAGTAAACATAACAAAAACAGGGGTTATTTAAGGACATATCAATATGAAAGTTTCAAAGTAAACATAACAAAATCAATGGTCATTTAAGGGATATATCAAATTAAAAATTTCACAGTAATAATAACAAAAATTAGGGGTCATTTAGGGAACATATCTATTTGAAAATTTCACAGCAAATATAACAAAATCAAAGGCCGGATATATCAAACTAGAAGTTTCACAGTAAACATAACAAAATCAACGGCCATTTAAGAGACATCATTCTAGAAATTTCAGAGTAAACATAACCAAATCAAGGGTCAGTTAAGAGACATATCAATCTGAAATTTTCACAATAAACATAACAAAATTAGAGGTCATTTAAGGAACATATTAAACTAGAAATTTCATAGTAAACATAACAAAATTAATGCCATTTAGGACATGTTAAACTGAAAATTTCAAAATGATATAAACTTAAGCTATAGCCTAGAGCTTCCACTACCGTTCATAGGACCACCAAGAAATCATAAATGGGCCACCAGAGTGACGGAGTTTGTGAGAAATAAACTAATAATATTGCCCAAGTTGCGGATTTATGCGGAACGAGGGTGCCCAAGTTGCGGACGGATGCGGCACGAGGGTGCCTAAGTTGCGGACGGATGCGGCACGAGGGTGCCTAAGTTGCGGACGGATGCGGCACGAGGGTCTCAAAAACTCGGAGAACTCAGAGTCTAAGAGTTTAGAGACGAGAGAAGATACTAGAAAGATTGGGAGAGAGCAATGGAAAGGAGTGAGGGATGTGATTACACAAATGATCAGTAGGGTTAACAGAAGGCATCTCTTAATGGTCATATATATACTCAGTCTAATAGATATATGCATATATAACCACTAAACAAAGTTCGAATATTTGAACGTGTCAGGAAAAATTTTACAACCCCTAACTTGATTTTAAATACACGGCATTAATCTCACCACGAGTCGAATAGCCATATTTGTGTTCAGATACCCATTTGTCTTTGTTTCCAATTTTCAAGTCGAACAAGTTCTTCGGGTTATGCAAAACCTTAAAAATAATTACTTCCCTTGTCCATTTTATCTGTTCTACTTACTATTCATTGGTCAAATCAACTATTTCTTCTTTGTTTATTTTCTTTAGTACTTTTTATTCATTTTTAAATTTGATTTTTTATGTTTAATAGTACTTTTAGTGTAGTTTCTAAATATATAAATTTTGTATACGAACTAAACTTAATATTATGAAAATTTGAATTAAAAATAACTTCAGTCAAGCTTCGTTAACTGAACTAGACACATAAAATGGAACGGATGGAGTAATATTTTATAAGTAATTTCGTAATAAGCTTATGTTCATATTTTTTAAAAATAAATCAAATAGAAAAAAAAATAATTTGTTGACTGTAAGCCCAATAGAAAAAAAATCAGCCAAACACAAAAATAAAAAAATAATAATAATAAATAATAATAATAATAATAAGTGAAATTATCTCTTAATATTACATTATTGTCATTTTTATCTTTCATTAAGAATAGACTGCCATGGTTTTTAAAAAACAATTATATTAAAAAATTAATAAACAAAAAAAAAATCACATAATAAACCGAACCACAGGTTATAAAATTATTTGTAATAGTATATTCTTTAAAACGCAAAATTTAGCCTAGATTTTTGTAGTTGATCTTTCTGTTTTCCTCGCCCATTTTAATATTTAAAAAAAAAAAAAAAAAAAAAAAAGGGTTTAGTTTATAGTAAGCTCCCTTCTCGGACGCATGTCTGTGGATAAACTAACCTCTGTCAGTTCAATGGCGATCATGAATCTTAGCACTAGGCCTTTAAGATTGGCTCAACTGCAAAACCCAAAACTAAACTTCACTTTCATACCTCATTTTTCACTCCGCAATTCAAGAATCTATGGTGTTTACAGGGACAAGGGCCAAAATTTCTCCTTCACCCTTTCTTGCAAGCTCAACACCACTAGAAAGAAGCAGGGTGCCAAGGAGAACAGTGCGCCCAGCAAGATTAGGGTGCCGGAATCTGACGGAGCACCCACGCTTTTGGACGCCGGCGACGCCGGAAATGGTGCCTCTCCGACGGGTCCACCGCCTGCGAAGAAGAGTAAAGCTGGTGGTTTGGGGCTGTTGAGGAGATTACCCAAAAGGGTAGTGGCGAGTCTGTCTAGTTTGACCCTCGCTATATCTGAGATGTTTGCCCTCGCTGGCTTAATGGCCATAGGTATTTATTTTTCCTTAAAGATTTTGTTTTTTCCCAGAATTCTCTTGATGTTGTTCTTTATTCATCATCTGTACAAGATTTTGCCGGTCTGCTATATCTTCTAGCCTTGCAGATAATGAAGTTTAGCTGTTTAGAATATAAATTTGGAGCTAAAATTTGACATCCTATTTCAAATTGCATCAAGTATTGATCAATAAAGTTCTTGCCTCAGCAAATTGTAACTTATGAATGAGAGATTGCTTTGCTTGTTTAAATAGGATAATTAAGTACCTTTATATTAACCCATCATTTCTGTACCAGTATGTTCATGGTTCAAAAGAATATAATGTTGAACTAAATATCCCATTTATGATCCAACAATTCCAGCTATCAGTCTCTTTACATTCCACTTTCTGCTGCAAATGACATTTTTTCGGTTTACATTTGTTCCTCGTAGGATCAATCATCGAACAAGGGGAGGCTCCAGATTTCTATTTTCAGAAGTTCCCCGAAGATCATCCTCTGTTTGGGTTCTTCAACTGGAGATGGGTTCTCACTCTTGGCTTCGATCACATGTTTTCATCGCCCATATTCTTAGGAACATCGGCTCTTCTAGCAGCATCGCTGATGGCCTGCACTTACACAACACAGATACCCCTAGTCAAAGTAGCAAGGAGGTCTGGTTTGAGTCTCCCCTCTTCCTTGTTTGAGCATTATTAGTAATTCTGAGTGTTAACAGCTATGGAACCCCGATTTGTAGGTGGTCGTTCTTACACTCAGCTCAGGCGATTCGAAAGCAGGAATATTCGGACACTCTCCCTAAAGCATCTATACAAGATTTGGGGGCCGTCCTGATGGGAGCTGGATACGAGGTATCAGCTCTTCACTAATTTGTTAATCTTTTCGGTTTCTTCTCACTTCAGATATACTATTTACACGTATAGTTATCTGTTTCTGCATCTCTAGGTATTCCTTAAAGGCTCAGCTCTATACGCGTTTAAAGGATTGGCAGGCCGAATTGCTCCAATTGGAGTACATGTGGCACTGCTGCTGATAATGTTCGGAGGAACTATTAGTGCCACGGGAAGCTTTAGAGGGTCGGTGAATGTTCCTCAAGGTCTGAACTTTGTTATAGGCGACGTGCTTGGGCCAACGGGGTTTTTGTCGACTCCCTCAGAAGCATTCAGTACTGAAGTTCATGTCAATCGGTTCTACATGGAATACTATGAGAGCGGAGAGGTATGCATAATAATGTTTTCCCTTCCCGCAATCTATCGAACATTAATGGGTAGTCAGTACTTTTTTGTGATATAGGTTTCACAGTTTCGGTCTGATCTATCACTATACGACCTTGATGGGAAGGAGGTAATGAGGAAGACGATAAGTGTAAATGATCCGTTGAGGTACGGTGGCATTACTATATACCAAACAGATTGGAGTTTCTCAGCGTTACAGATCATGAAGGATGATGAAGGGCCTTTTAATTTGGCTATGGCGCCTCTAAAGATCAATGGAGACAAGAAGTTGTTCGGTACATTCCTGCCTATAGGTGATACTGATTCTCCTGATGTCAAGGGAATGTAAGTTTTGTTATTAAGACAAGACTATAAGTCTTATGTGGTATCTTTATCAAATGTGCTGGTTTTTAACACTTTTAATCCCTTCTATTTGTGAGAATCCAGATCAATGTTAGCGCGTGACTTGCAGTCCATTATCCTTTATGATAAAGAAGGGAAATTTGTTGGAGTCAGGCGGCCCAACTCTAAGCTTCCGATTGAGATTGATGGAACCAAAATTCTAATAGTAGATGCAATTGGTAGCACTGGCCTTGACCTGAAGGTAAAATCCAAAGGGAATCCAGAATAATTCTTTTATCGGTTTTTTTTTTTTTTCTCACTTATAAAGATGCTGAAATGTTACCGATATTGCATCTCAGAGCGACCCAGGGGTGCCAATCGTGTATGCGGGTTTTGGAGCTTTAATGCTTACGACGTGCATCAGCTTCTTGTCACACAGTCAGGTGAGCTCCGTTGTTATTAAGTTGTTCGATTGTAATTTCAGAAGCAGTAACTGTTTTTGGGTTTGTGCATTTTCGAATCACCTAAAAGATATGGGCGTTACAAGATGGAACAATGGTGGTTGTGGGAGGAAAGACTAACCGGGCGAAAGGTGAATTTCCAGATGCAATAAGCAGCTTGCTTGATCAAGTCCCTGAAATAGTTGAATCATCTCCTTCCAAAGAATCAAATGGTCTCAGTCTCTGAGGCATTTACTTGGATCAAAGAGTATTACATAACATAGTTCGACTCCACGGATGATTCAGTCCGAGGAGAAACCAACACAAGTTGCCAGGAAAACTCTTCAATGATGGTTTGGTTAGAACTTATTCCATTGATTCCTTGTAGATCGGATTCAGAGCCTTCCAAGAATCATAAATTTCTGCTCTGTAGATATAATTGTACTTGTGTATACAGGAGAAAATTCATAGATACATGATTTTTATGTGATACAACATATGTTGATCAATGATCATACTTCTTCTCCAACCCCTCAAAAGTCAAAACTACTTTTGTAGTATACAGTTCTTCCCGAGTGAAGTTCACTTTTGCTTACAATGAACTCAATATTTGGCAACCGTGAGCACAGTTTAAAACCTCTGCAGAGAAGAATCTTTGGGTAACCTTGTTCGGACTAAGCAAATCTGGAGACAAACTCATAGGATTTTAACACACTTTTTGCATTACTGATGATCCTATCAGGATAATTCAGTACAAAGATCTATTCTAAATATGCATACATCACCTATATAATAGAGACACGCAAACAAGTCACACGTTTAAATTCTTGGTGGACAGAAATTACATATCCTCCTAAGTTCTTAGGTTGGCCAAATCAGGACTGAAAATGTCCGAGACTGTGACTTAGTCTATGCCAATTGCACGGCTTCTTCACGCTTTATATCAAACACCTTGATAAGGGCATCTTCAACTACCTGAAAAAGTCCATTTATTGTTCAGAGCTCAAGCCTATGCTATCACTATGTGAAGTTATCTATGGATTCCTGCTGGAAGTAGATTCATAATGAAAACTCGAAAACATTCTTGAATTTGGTTTGAGGGAAAAGGAAAGTAAAATGAAGGAAAAATGGAGAACAACAAGCTGAGTAAACTAGAATTGGAGCATGATGATGAGAAGAATTTAAGTAGCATTACCTTATCAGGAGTGGAGGCGCCAGATGTTACCCCTATTGTGAGAGGTCCTTCAGGCAGAAAGTTCTCTTTCTCAACCAACTCACCATGCTGTTTAAAAAGGATATGTAGAGAATAAGGGGAAAATATGCAAAGTTGAAATTTTATTCTTGAAAAATTCATAGTGTCACAAGTGCCCACCAATAACTTGTAGCTTATTTTGTTTCCAGGACCGATTCTCTGCTCACTATCAATCCAGTATGATGGAATTCCACGTTCCTCTGCAATCTCCTGTAGGTGTGAAGTGTTGCTTGAGTTCCAGCCACCAATTACCAAAATAAGATCCAGCTTGTCCTCAACTAGCTTATACATGGCATCTTGTCGCTCCTAAAGGTTTTATGCAATTTATCAGGAATGCATAATTGACAGGAAATTCAGGGAAAAGCATAACAAGATAGAAATGACATACTTGAGTAGCATCACAAATAGTGTTGAAACTCATAAAGTGGTTATTGACGTTTTCCACTCCATACTTGCGCATCATGGTCTTCTCAATTAACTTTCCTATTTAGAACAGGTGCAAAATCAGTATGTCAAATTGCACTTTACTAAATGGATAAATGAGCAAGTGATGTAGAGACTGACCAATCTCTTCAGTTTCTCCCTTCAACATTGTTGTCTGGTTAGCAATACCAACTTTACAGAGATCGGCATCTGGATCAAAACCTTCAGAAACTGCCCGCTTAAATTTCTGCAGGAAAAAAAAAAAAAAAATGTCAGAGCAGCATGACACATAATGATTGCGCCAAGATAAAATAAACAACTTAAATTCACATAAATGGAAAGGGTAGCTCAGAGGCACCTCCAGAAATGCTTCTTTGGTTGAGCTAGAACCATCTAGTTGACCTCCAAGAATATAATCACAAACATATGTTGCCTGCAATGTGTATAGGGTTCAAGAAATAAGAACTGGCATTCAATGCCTTCTAAATATTTCTAGAAAACAACATAAACATTTTACAGTGTACTAATAAAAAGACAAATGAAGCCAACATACCTCCGCAATGTTCTTCACAATGATGTATTTTCCTGCAAAAGATGCAGTGGCTACGGTTTCTTCATGAGAATATTTACCATGGATCACGGAGGTGTGTTCACCTTTCTTGTGTTTCTCAACTACATTCCAAACCTGGAAAGTAAAATCGGAAAGAACTAATGATAGAACTCTGGGACATAAGATACCTGTTTGCAAATGATGAATATGGGTCTATAATCTATTTTCTTGCAACTCAGCTGTCACACCTTAGAAACCCATGGGCAGGTTGTATCAACTATTTGTACATTCTTTTCACTCAAAGTTAACATCTCATCGACAGCAGCCCCAAACGCAGGCAAAACCACAACATCACCCTTGTCAACAACATTAAAATTTTTCTCTCCTTGGTCAATGGGGATATTCTTGACTTCCATTTCCTCAAGCCGCTGGACATGATGAAGTCAAATATTTATGATTACAGAAGTGCCAATAACTATATGAACAACCTAATATTTAAATAGAGATCAACATGAAGAATAAACCAATAACTGAGAGTGTAAGACCTTATTCACTGTAGGGTTGTGTATAATTTCATTTGTGATCCAAATCCTCTCAGTTGGAAATTGTTTTCTCGCTTCATACGCAATCTGGACTGCTCGCTCAACCCCCCAGCAGAAGCCATAGGCTTCTGCAAGTTTTATGGTAACATTTCCCCATGTATATTCGTAGCCATTCTCTTTCAACTTCTTTATAATATCACCTGAAACGTGAGAATTAAAGGAATAAACAGAATTTTTTTTGAATGATTTCTCCCACTATTCTCGTTTCGTATCTAACAACAAAGTCACAACCTCAACTTACTAGTATACTCGCGATTCATGAGCTCAAGAGTAGCTTCTTTGTGACCAAAGCCCTTGCGATTGTAATTCGCACTTCTGGTCAAGTTCTTCCGGAACGTCTTAGGATCAAACTCCGAATCTACGGCCGGCGAGGAGGAGGAAGCTGTTTCTCCGGCGGAGCATCGGACTGAGAGAGGCTTCCGGAGATGGAAGACTCTAGACTCCGGCAAGGAGATGTCGGTACGGATTGGTAAACGGGAGAATTGCAGAGGAATAGACATGATTCAGGGGAGAGTGCGCACGTTAGCTGATTGCGTTTGCAGTGTTGGAGCTAAAAGCCTAAGACTGATTTGAGGTCTGCGATTTATCGTCTCTGAGTCGTGACTCGTGCCCCGTCGACACATATATCCTGTCTTTTTCCTTTGATTTACGGACTTTTTTTATTAAAAAAAAAATGTTAAAAATGACAGCAAGCGGAGAGTTCAACCAAACAGTAACAAGCTACCCTAATTAATTTATGGGCAACTCTAACGCTAAACACTTAATAAAAAGAAAAATACTTGGTGTACTCCTATTTTAAACTCTCAATTTGTACTCACTCTCATATACTTTTGATGTAGACATTTTTCTGTGGACTCACATGATGAAAATAATCTATCCTGATTTGTCACCTCAGTGAGTATAAATGAGGGAGTAGAATTTTGGGAGTCTATGTAGTAGAACTCAAAATATGAGTGTAATATTTGAAAAACTACTCATTAGATCTTCATTTGATTTATCTATTATTTATCTATGGAATGCTCATGAATTGTTTTCTGCAGAATATCTATCATTGTTACATTGTTTTGTTATCGTTGCTTCCCAATATTTTTACTCCTTGAAAGAAGTGTAATATTTATCAATCATGGTAGGTTTCTTTGTATAAATTAAAGGGTAATTTTAAAAGTTTGCTTGAGTCAACCATGTCATGGTTTCTCTGTATAAAAGGTGTTTTGTTTTATCTTACAAATATTCTTAAATTATAATGATTGCTCCAAAAAATTATGATTCAACTTTTAAAATCATATTATTTTCAAACTATGTTTGCTCTAAATATTTCTAAATTATAGTGTTTTCTCCAAAATAAGCAGGTAGATTAATTTGGCAAAAAATAAGCTTAATCAAAGTAATAAATATGTTTCTCTATCTACTAAAATCAATCAAGACAAAAAAAAAAAAAAAAAAAAAGTTTAGAAGTGATGATGGATTGAATGACATAGCACCTGAGATGCTGTAGTTGCTTACAAAGAAGCTAAGGGCATCCTCAATAGTGAGGATTTTGGTGTGGTATTTTAGGTGCCAACTAGGAGAGAGATGTGGAGAGAAGAAGAAATAAAATTAAAAAAAAAAAAACAAAAAACAAAAACAAAAACAAAAAATTGACGCGAAAAAAGTCAGGAAGTCTGATGCCTTGGCGCCATCCATTGCACCAGGTACGACTTTCCAGCCTTCTCTTTCACTTTCTCTCTGCTATTGGGCCCACAAAAACGTCCATATTGCAGGAGAAAAGTTTGGCCAAAGTCTTCATCTTCCATTTGTGAAAATCTCCTCTATGGGATTTTGTTGTCCTAAAACTTAGTGAAGACCCTTCTAATGGGGATGTGCTAATGAGCTAATCAAAGACATAGCAACCTACTTTAAGAAAGAATATGAGAACACTGATAGAAAGATGAAGATATTTGAAGAAATCATCAAACTGCCTTGAATTTTCAAGGCAAGAAGTTATAGAAGGTCAGAAGTGGCAATCGAGACATCACCCAACCCACCAGGGCCAATCGCTGAGGGTAGGATTCAACGACCTGAGGTCAATCAAGATTTTGATCCGGTGCAAGGAGAGGTGTCGGAGAAGGGAGTCCAATGCCGTTTGTAACACCATCAACATACATCGAATTGGCAATTCTTACATGTAGACTTGTCAAGAAAATCAAGATTTTCAAGATTATTGAAAACGGGCAACGTACAAGGAATTTGCGTCGGCGAACATGTTAACTTTCAATATTTAATAATTGAAATCACCACTCTTAATTATAATTAAGATAAATGATATTCATAAAATTTAATCTACATTGCACATATATTGTTAGGATCCAAACACCTCCTAAGTGGAATAATTTGTCTGTAATATGATCATTATTGGTATTGCTATCATATTCTCCAGAGTCTTAATGGTTTGTGAAAAAGCACGTGAGTCTTGAATGCAAGATATAGCCTTTAATAACTTTAATTTATTTCAATTATAAAGCTGGACTAGATGCAAACATATTCCAGATATAATAAATAACATGAAATAAATAGCAGTAAAAGAAAGCATGCACCAGGATATGTTCACGCAGTTCGGAGCCTCACTCCTACGTCTGCGGGGCCACTCACATCAACCCAAATCCACTATGATGAAAAACGGAGTACAAGAGGATAGTTAATTACACTCTAAGGTATAACCTATAACTACTCCAGAACCTACTCCAGTGGATCCGATGTGCAGGCGTTCTTCATTGCTTCATGATCTGATTGCAAGATCTTCTTCACACACATCAGTACATGATATATTTGGTATAGATGCACCAAGATTTTCAGAGTAAGGCTTTGTGAAAGAGTGCGTAATTCGAATGCTAATTAAGGTAGCATTATATATAGGTTGTAAAGAATGTTTTGATCCTCAAAACATGCAATCTTCCCTTCCTTGAATTCGGCTGCTCCATTAGATCTAGATCTCCCCATTGATAGGGTCTTGACCGAATACTTTGAAGAAGCTTCATACCTTCTGGATTACTTCCTAGCGCTGATCCAGTAAACCCCAGACGACGTGACTAATCCAGGACTACTTTAACAACTAATCTAAGCCAATAATAAAGAGGTTTAAATGTGCAACAAATTTACACTTACAATCTCCCCCTTTGGCTATTAGTACAAAACTACTAAAAGATATCATCGGCTTTAAATTGCCGAATATATAATCTATACAATTGAGAGCGGATTAGTCACTAGTCAAGAGTAGCTAGACTCACACCCTCCTTAAACTTAGCCAATGTTGTGCCAGAAAATTTAAACACAATTACACATAGAAAATTAAAGCACAAAGCACAAAGAGACACAGAGCACACAAAGTCATATAATATAGCCGCATAGCTTTTATCACATAGTCACGACAAAACACGCAAACACATATAGAGACAAAATAGAGGTAGAGCACACCACATTATTCACTGGCACTTATGGCTAAGTTCACAAAAAAAACGTGCACTCCCCCTTACTACGTGCACTCCCCCTTTTTGTCAAACTAATGGGCAAAGAGCAACATCAGGACTGAGTGGAGGAGGAAGAAGTCTCCAAGTCTTCATCATCATCAGCAGGAGCAGCAGGAGAAGCACTCTCAAGAGCGGCAATGTGTCGATTGGTGCGGAGCAGTTGAGCCTCGGCGGTTGAGATGGAAGATTGAATGGCAAGCGAGGCATCTTTCATTGTAGCAATGTGTGAAGTGAGAAAGGTGACCTGCTGTCTAAGAACAGCCAGCGCCGAAGCAGAATCAGCAGCAGAAGCAGTCGGCGTAGAGTCCAGGCCAGTTGCTGGAGGATCAGCTGGAGCAGGGGCAGGTGGAACTGAGGAGAGAGTGGCCCGATCATCATAGTGTGTTCTTTGGAAGATGCGAGAGTCCATAGAGGTCTTGTGAGTAACATGACAGAGCTCTTCATTGGAGTAGAGTTGAAGCCCTTATTGTGGCAGAATCCCGATGATAAGGCACGGAAAGGGGAGATGAATCTTGGCTTCCTTCTTCTTGGCAAAACTCATGATGTGATGATAGATGAGGTGACCAAGATCAATCGGCAGTTGATGTCGAACTTTGTATAACAGAGATGCCATCTTCTTATTGACAGTGTGCACAGAAACATTTGGAATCCAATTGCTAGAAGCTAGGCCAAACAGGACAGAATAGACTACAGTAAGGACGTTCGAAGGAAGGCCATCATTTGGCCAGATGTTGATCTCATTGTGGGTAAGATGTGATGCAAGAAAGTCACTAGCAGGATCAAAGAGATCATCACACGCATCACGCTGAAAATAGACATTAATAATAGAAGGACTAAAATCATACCAAACATCTCGGAGAAAAACCTTATGATAATGCGGAGAGGCCGGCCGAAGAGAATCAGATGTGAGATTGGCGTAGAATTCTGGAATAAGCCAGGCAGAGTAAGCTCCCACATTCTGGATAGTCTGGAGAAGGTTCTGAGCACTAAGAAGAGGAATGATATTGCACGTGCGAATGAGGTACTCAATATTGAAATTCTTCTCAACCAAGATATCGCGATTTGAATGCTGTTGCCATACTGTTTCCAATGCAGAGGAGAGCAAGATAGGTCTGAACGAGGTCTCCTTGGATGCTTTAGAGGTCTTGGACCTAGATGATGCAGCTGGCTTTGAAGCAGGAGCAGAAGCTGGAGCAGGAGTTGGAGGAGGAGCTGGAGTAGACACACCAGTTCTCGATCTTGTACGCGGAGCCAGACCTGTAGGACGATGTTCTGAGCGCTTGCTAGGACGAGATTCGGAGACAAATTCAACATCATCTGACATATGAAGCTTTCGCTTAGCCACTGGAGCTGGAGCTGGAACTGGAGCTTCATCTGGATCAGTAACTTTGGCTTTCCCTTTGGCCTTTGATGTAGCAAACGGCACTCTGATAATTGGGACAGCCGTTTGTGCACGGGCAGAGTTTGGCATATTAGCAATGGTGTCTGAGATGATGGTTGCTTGAACGGATGGATCCTCAGGCTCAGAAATTATGTCATGGATTGACACCTCAATATCCTCTGGAATAGAGCCTGGAGCAGATGCTAGAGCGTCAGTAGCAGGATTTGAGGCCAGAGCAGTGGCTGGAATAGAAGCCGTAGCTGTGGCAAGAGCACGTGAGGGCTCAGCCATTTTGGGAGTGGCCTTATCGGAGCGTTGAGGAAGAGAACCTGTGAAAGCAATCGTAGATAGAGGCACAATAGACATACCAGCAGAGGGATCCTAATTTTGCAAGACAAAAACACAGTCTCAAAAAAAAAAAAACACCATAGATAATCAAGGCAAAATAAGCAAATTAAAGCATAAAAACACTTTTTCAGATTGGGATATGGATGATCTTTACAGCATCTTACAAACACTTATACAATTATAAAATGCGTCTCTTTTTGCTCTGATCTGCAACTTGGACACCTCATTAATTGATTGGTTGAGAAGATAAGGTCATGAGAACAGAATAAATTGACAACATCATTTCTTGCAAATAGTTTAGCTTGTCACAAAGAATCTTTTTAATGTAATTTATATATTTTTTGCATGTAGATTATTATACAAATATTCAAATTTAA